CCACACACACACATACACACATACACACACAAAAGAACACACACACACACACACACAAACACAAACATGCACACACACGCATTCTTTTATTAAAGATATTAGATCTAGTGACCACACATTCATCTTGATTTTGATAATATAAATATAAGTCAAATCACAGCAGAATAACTGAGAAAAAGGAATATAAGCACAGAGCGGAGTAAACACACCCAGTCGCCACTGAGTAGCGCCCAAAAACATTAATACGTGTAGATATGATGTCTGGCAGGGGTAGGCCTAGAACAACATACTTAGGGAACCTAAACAAATGGGTAACAGGGAAAGATCAGGGAAACGTAGCTTTTTTGAGAGCGTCCGAGCAAAGGAATGAATGTAGAACCATGATCGCCGATGTCTGTGACAGATTTGGCACTGGATGATGATAATGATGATGATGTCTGTCTGTACGCCCGATTAGTCTTTCTAGTTTTAGTAATGCAGTTTCTAGGACACTAACGTCTAGGCTGGACATAAAGGCTTTGAACGTCTTGCTCTCACTGGAAAAATTAAAGGCAAGCGAGGCTGAGGTAGACCAGGTTTTTTTTTCGTTCTTTACTTTTCCAATTGGGCCAAGAGAGGTGAGCTCATAATACCCGGCGTCTATGGTGTAGCCGCTTGGCGCTTCATCGTTTCCATGCTGAAAACCTGAGTTCGATTCATGTTTGGGAAGAATCGTTTATCGAGGATCTCACGCTTTCTGCCGGGACGCTGTATCCCTCTCTCGGGCATAGGTGGAATCAAAGTCCGCCTCCCAAATGGTTTAAACCGTGTCAATAGGGGCGTATAACATCGACAGTTACTTTTTATAGGCATTCAACTCCCACAGAAAAAAATAGTGAAGCAGAAAGATCTAGCGGGTGATTGGGAGGCACTACCGTATGTAGGTCCTACTACTTTTCTCTGTGTGTGTTGTTTATGTACGTCTGTCTGTCTTATTATTTCTCAATGATCGTTATCAAATCGATGTGCTTCTCTCTCGACGAAGAAGAAGAGATAACGACGACAGATATTTGACAGGACAGAAGAAGCAAACCACACCAGAGCACCCACAAACCACCCACAAAGTAAAAAAGTCAAAGACAAAAATTGAAAATTGTGACTAATGCCATCCCCCTCCTGTATTGTCCGACTATGTGTCCTATCCCATAGAGTTTATATCTAGTACATGAACTAGACTTGATGTCATGGTAATGATGCCCCCCACGTAAACGAACGGGGGCTGCGTGTGCCCACACTGGGATGCTGAACCTCAAGGGCAAGATATGCGCAGTTCAACAGATGGGTGAGTACTTTTCGAGGCTTGCGTGGAAGCGTCGCGGTGGTCTTTGGAGGAAATCTCCAAACTTGAAAAACTTGCACTGAAATGCGGGGAGCGGGGAGGAGGCTCAGTTTATTTAGAGGTGCACCTCAGCCATGCTGATAAGGGTAAAGAGGCCCCGGTGTCTGACACTTGTGACGTCACCGCTGCGCGCTCTAGAATTATATAATATTACTAATAGCTGGGTATCCGTTCGATGAACCGACTCAAAAGAATCGATTATCATGTCATTGTGGACACAGTGCGCACTACTTGTGAACTGAAGCCTCACTTGTTTACAATGGCGTCTTAGAAGACGGATTTTCCCAAGATTAGATCAAAACGAAACTAATGAAAAACTGAAAATTAAACCACAGTGACTTCACACACCTTACTATAATTGTGCACCCTTTAAATGTTTCTGAACTATCCTTACTTTTTCCAAATTCGAAAGTTAAGTGGTTGGGAAGTTTTAGGCGACCAAAGTGACGAATTTTCACAAATTATATTATATAATATAATATTGTTTGTCTGTGTATGTGTCTGTCTGCCTGTCTGTCTGTCCGTCTGTCTGTCTTTTCATTGTCCACCCGGCTATCAACCAATCCATATATCCCCAATTCGCACATCCAGTTTCTTCCCTTTATCAACACCACACGGGAGACACATCAGTCTACCAAGAATTCGTCTCAAATTTTAGTTTTAGTAAGAACTTCACGGCACGCGCAACACAATTAGGTTGCATAAGTAACGAAGATTAGAGGGTTTCTAAAAATAGTTTCAGTAAGTGTTTTGCGGCACTTACAACACACTATAAACCTCTTTGGTAATGTCCCGAAAGTTTCTGCTTGTCCGTGTCTTACCTGTGCGGGAGGCGTGGCTGCCCTGGCTTGGCCGGCGAACTAACACCGTGGACTTGACCGGCGACACGCTGCTCGCTGGACCACCCGCTCCTGTGGACACACGAGACGTAAATTTAAATGATACAGCATGAATGGGAGTCACACTCTTTTCATCTATGTCTGGCTGTTGGTCTGTGTTTGTCTTAGATGTGAGGGGGTCTGTCTGTTTGTCTGTGTTTGTTTACGAGAGGGGGTCTGTCTTTTTGTCAGTGTGTGTGTGTGAGTGTGTGTGAGTGTGTGTGTGTGTGTGTGTGTGTGTGTGTATGTGTGTGTGTTTGAGTCTGTGTGTGCGTGTAACTGTTTGTCTGTGTGTTTATCTGTGTATGTGTCAGTCCGCCTGCCTGTCTGTCTGTCTGTCTGTCTGTCTGTCTGTCTGTCTGTCTGTCTGTCTGTCTGTCTCTCTGTCTTTCAATCATTTATCTATTCGGCAATCAGCCCATCCATATATCCCCCAATTAGCACATTATCAACACGACACGAGAGACACATCAGTCTGCCAAGAATTCGTATCAAATTTTAGTTTTAGTAAGAGTTTTACGGCACGTGTAACACAACTAGGTTGCAAAAGTACCGAAGATTAGAGGTATTTCAAGAAAATTTTAAAAACACAAAAAAGAAGGAGGAAAGATAAGATGGATAGATGTTTGATAGGACAGAAAGAGCAAACCACACCAGAGCATCCACCAACCACCCACCGTATCAAGTTTGCCTATTCAAACTTTAAACACTTTTGAATACACGGGTCATGGAGAAGCAGAGTACTCTACATTGTCAGAACCACTGAAAAAAGACACTCCCGCCATCCCACCCCAATCCTTTCATAATTTAAAAGAAAGCATAAACAAAAACAGAAAAACGACAACAACAACAACATAAGAACAACAATAGAAAAACAACAACAACAACAACAACAACAACAACAACAACAACAACAACAACAAACAAACA